ATGCAAGCTGGATTCAGAAGAGGACATGGAATGAGGGATATCATTGCTGATGTCAGATGGATCTTGGCTCAAAGCAAAGAATACCAGAAAGATGTTTAATTGTGTTTTATTGACTGTGGAAAAGTATTTGATTGTGTGGATCATAACAACTTGTGGATAACATTGAGAAGAATGGGAATTCCAGAACATGTGATTGTACTCATGAGGAACCTGTGCATAGACCAGGAAGCTGTCGTTTGAACAGAACAAGGGGACACTGCATCGTTTAAAATCAAGAAGGGAGTGTGTCAGGGTTGTATCCTTTCACCATACTCAACCTGTATGCTGAGCAAATAATCTGAGAAGCTGAATTATATGAAGAAGAACATGGCATCAGGATTGGAGGAAGAATCATTAACAACCTGCAACCCAACTTTGCTTGCTGAAAGTGAGGATAACTTGAAGTACTTAGTGATGAAGATTAAAGACTACAGTCTGCAGTATGGATTACAGCTCAATATAAAGAAAACAAAAATCCTCACAACTGGACCTAAAAGCAGCATTATGATAAATGGAGAAAAGATTGAAATTGTAAAAGACTTCACATTGCTTGGTTCTACAATCGCCACCAATGGAAGCAGTAGTCAGGACATCAGATGATGTACGTTGTTGTTGTTGTTATGTGCTGTCGAGTCGGACCCGACTCAGTGACCCCTCCTTGGGTTTCCAAGGCAGTATCTCTACAGAAGTAGATTACCCAACCTTCCTTCCGAGGAGTGACTGGTGGGTTTGAATCGTCAGCCTTCTGGTTAGCAGACAAATGCCTTAGGCACTACACCAGCAGAGCTCCTAGACGACATATAGCACTGGACAAATCGGCTGCAAAGGACCTCTTTCAAGTGCCGAAGAGCAAAGATGTCTCTTTGAGGACTTAGGTGCACCTGACACGAGCCATGGTATATTCAGTAGCCTCGTATGCATGTGAGAGCTGGACAATGACTAAGGAAGACCGAAGAAGAATTGATGCTTTTGAACTGTGGTACTGGCGAAGAATGTGGACTGATAAAAGAACTAACAGATCTGTCCTGGAGGAAGTGCAGCCAGAATGCTCCTTGGAGGCGAGAATGGCCAGACTTCGTCTCACCTACTTTGGTCACGTTGTCAGAAAGGACCATTCCGTGGAGAAGGATGTCATGGTTGGTAGGGTGGAGGGTCGATGAAAGAGGGGAAGGCTCTCAACGAGACAGAGTGACAGTGGTGGTGGCGATGGGCTCAAGTGTAGCAAGAATCACAGAGCTGGTGCAGGATCGGGTGGTCTTCTGTTCTGCTGTGCATAGGGTCGCTAAGAGTCAGAGACAACTTGACGGCACCTAAGAACAACAGCAACAAAAACAACTTCCATAGTGATACTGCCTCAGAAACCTAAGGACGGGTCGCTATGAGTCAAATCTGACTCAACGGCAGTGAGTTCGTTTTTTTGTTGTTGTTTATTCATTGAATTTGAACTTTAATTTCAAATTTGAACTTTAATTTTAAATTGAATTTGACAGAGAACTTCCAGAAACGTAGGCTGGATTCAGAAGAGAATGTGGAATGAAGGATATAATTGCTGACGTCAGATGGATCTTGGCTTAAAGCAAAGAATACCAGAAAGGTGTTTACTCGTGTTTTATTGACTATGCAAAAGCATTCAATTGTGTGGATCATAACAAATTATGGATAAATTGAGAAGAATGGGAATTCAGAACACTTGGTTGTGCTCATGGGGAACCTGTACATAGACCAGGAGGCTGTCGTTTGAACAGAACAAGGGGACACTGCATGGTTCAAGATCAGGAAGGGAGTGCGTCAGGATTGTATCCTTTCCCCATACTTATTCAGCCTGTATGCTGAGCAAATAATCCGAGAAGCTGGACTATATGAAGAAGAGCATGGCATTGGGATTGGAGGAAGACTCATTAACAACCTGCAATAGATACGCAAATGACACAACTTTGCTTGCTGAAAGGGAGGATGACTTGGAGCACTTACTGATGAAGGTTAAAGACACCAGTCTTCAGTATGGATTACATAAATAAAACAAAAATCCTCACAACTGGACCGATAAGCAGCATCATGATAAATGGAGAAAAGATTGAAGTTGCCAAAGACTTCATATGACTTGGTTCCACTAACAACACCCATGGAAGCAGCAGCCAAGAATCAGATGCTGTATTGTATTGGGCCTCTTTAAAGTGATGAGGAGCAAAGATGTCTCTTTGAAGACTATGGTGTACCTAATTGAAGCCAGGTGTTTTCAATCACCTCAAATGCCCGTGAAAACTGGACAATGAATAAGGAGGACCGAAGAAGAGTTGATGCTTTTGAGTCGTGGTGTTTGCGAAAAATACTGAGTATACCACGTACTGCTAAAAGAATGAACGAATCTGTCCTGGACGAAGTGCAGCCACAATGCTCCTTAGAAGCGAGAATGGCCAGACTTCATCTCCCCTACTTTGGTCACGTTATCAGAAGGAATCATTCCCTGGACAAGGATGTCATGCCTGATAAAGTGGAGGGTCAACGAAAAAGGTGAAGGCGCTCAATGAGACGCAGTGACTGCAGGGATGGGCTCAGGTATAGCGATTGTGAGGCTGGCACAGGACTGGGCAGTGTTTCGTTCTGTTGTCCACGGGGTCACTGTGAGTCGGAGCCCGCTTGACGGATAGCTCCTAACAGCAACAACGTGTTTGTGGTATTTTCATAATGATACAATTTTTAAAAATTCTGTCTGCCCCACGGCAGCCCCAATCCCTGCTGCAAATTGCCACCCGACTTCACCATCAGGAGATGCGAGCTTTTATCTCCTGGACTTTACGTGCTGCTTCTACCTCCTGCTGAAAGCTGTAAGGCGGGCCTGTGTCCTTCCTCCACCTGTAGAGTTTATTTAAGAGCAGGAAGGAACAACGTTTGCCAAAAAACTCAGGCATCATCTGGACGGTTATGGAGGAAGATGAGTGAGCTGTAGAAAATTTGCTTCCCTTAGCTCAGCATTGAAGCCACAGGACCCAACCCAGTGACGGCAGGTCAGCGGCCCCGAAACAGTGTCAGAAATGCAGGTTCTGGACCCCTCCCCAGCACCAGGGAGTCACAAACTACTGGCAGGAGCCCAGCCGTCTGAGTGTTTACAAGGCCTGCTGGGGTCTGGGGTCCCTGGGTGGTACACTCAGGTGCAAACCCAAAGGCTGGTGGGCCGAGTCCACCCAGCAGTGACTCGGAAGAGAGGCCTGGTGACCTCCGTCTGGAAATTCAGCCTCTGACCACCCTCTGGAGCCCGGCTGTCCACACGTGGCATACACGGGGTGGGAGAAGCCAGAGCTGACTCGCATGGAAGAGGGTTGTTTGTTTTTATCTGCATAGGTCATTATAACGAGCCCTGGTGGGGCAGCCAGTTGAGCATCTGACTGCTAACTGAAAGGCTGACAGTTGGAATTCGCCCAGCCACTCTGCAGGACAAAAGACCTAACAATGCGCTCTGGTAAAGACTGACAGCCGGGGAAGCGCAGTTCTCCTCTGTCCTCTAGGGGCGCTGTGAGTCGGAATCCACTCCACGGCAGTGGGCGTGGTTTAGGCTTTGCTTCTGTGAAGATTGACAGCCTGGGAGACTCTGTGGGCAGTTCCACTCTGTCCTCTAGGGGCGCTGTGGGTCAGAATCAATTGCCAGTTTGGTTTGGGCTTTGCTTCTGTAAAGATTGACAGCCTTGGTTCTTGGCTACAGCCAGCTACCCAGAAGGAGCAAGCAGTTGGACCTGTGGGCTTGGGACTGTGTTCACAGAGGATATCAAGCTCAACTGGCATAACATCCTACACAAAAACATTTTTCCACATCCTACTTTGGCAAGTAGTGACTAGGGTCTTAAAAGCTTGCAAGCAGCCATCTAGATGCAACCATGGGTCTCTCTTCATCCAGAGCAGAGAAGAAGGAAGAAAACCAAAGATGCATGGAAACTATTAGTCCAAGGGACTAATAGACCACGTGATCCTCAGCCTCTACGACCATGAGACCAGAAGAACTAGATGGTGCCCGGCTAACACTCGAAGGGGGATTGGTGCAGGAGATCCTGGATAGAGTGGGAGAACAATGTGGAACAAAACTCAAAATCATAAAAAAAAAAATATCTGGTTTTCTGGTCTGCTACAGGCTAGTGAGACCGCTAGCTGCCTTTCAGGTCTGGAACTGAACTCACTCCTGTGGCTTCCAGCCAAACAATAGACAGGCATGTGGGGTGAACATTTACATCAGGGAGACACAGTCCTGAGAATGATCAATCGTGGGAGAACAGGAGGGCTGTATTTGCAACGGAGACAGCTGGGGTGGGGGTGGCGGAGAGCATGGGAGGGAAGGACCCAGGGAAGAGGTAACTACAGGGAGGAAGTGGGAAGAGAGCTGTTACACTGTGGGGAATTGCAGTCAATGTCATGAAATAAAATGTGTATGAACTGCTGTATGGAAAATGAATTTGCTCTGTGAACTTTCACCCAAATCACAATAACTTAAAAAAAAAGAAAAAATCGACAGCCTTGGAAACTATGGGGTGGCTCTCTGTCATGTGGGGTCGCTGTGAGTCAAAATGGACTTGACAGCATCCGCACCACCAGCAGCTCACGTTGTCTCCATTGTTTCTATGACTAGTTGGACAGAAGTGCAGGGAGGGACTGTGCCCTCCTTTCTAGATGAGGAGCTGGGCACTGGACGGTGGGGGCAGCATAGGGTAGATGAACGGGTGGGACCCCCACCAGGGTGACTTGCCCTAAATCTAGACATGACCCCAGCACTCCTGCCCCACCCACCAGGCTGCCCCTCAGCCCAGTTACACCAGGAGATGGCCAGGAGACCCCTGACCCCATCCCTCCCACCCGTGGACAGTGGCCTTGGCTGAGGCAGGTGGGGATGGCCCTGAAGCCCCCAACCCTGGCCCTCAGTGGGTGGGAAAGCCCCCTGAGCCCCGGCCCTGGCCCCGGGAGGGACGTGCGGTCCTTACTGGTGATCTGTAGGATCTGCTCGTAGGCCTCGAAGGTCAGCAGCGGCTGTGGCAGCTCTCGGAGGAAGGCCTTCAGGATCACAGCGGGCACGTGGATGTCCCCGTAGTCGTCAAAATTCACGGGCTTCCCTGCGCACAGACATGAGTGAATGACGGAGTGAATGAAGGACGTAGGGCACGTAGCGGGGAGACTCAGAGCAGCTCCCGGGAGGGGCAGGCCCCAGGGGAGGTACAGGAGGTAAACAGGCCAGGCGCCCAGGACAAGGGGCTGCTGAGCTCTGGGCCTGGGGCTGCTGCTTCCACAGACTCTGACGTCAACCGGCACGGAGACCCGATGGGGAGAGCCTGTGCTGGGCCATGTGTGCTGTGGCCGCCTCTGCCAGCAACCGCTCGGGGCTGCCTCTGGAATGGGGTGCTGCCCCCCGCCAGCTGGGCCGCCCTCACCTGCCTCCTCTGGGACGCCTTCTTTACTGTGGTTTGGTCTCAGCGAGGACTTGTCGCTGTAGCAGTGCCCAGCATGACGCCAAGGCACGAGGGCTGTGAAGGCGGCCCACGAGATGGCACTCAGTCCCTGCCTGAGGCCAGCGTGTGGCAACACGGTCTGCTGCCTCGACACCCATGAGGCCTCCTGGCTGCCCGTCAGGGTCGAACCCACCCAGAGGCACCTTGGAAGACAGGCCTAGCAATCTGCTCTGCGCTGCCACCCAGGGGCGCCTCGACGGGGACTGATAAGCTGTCCGTGCACTCAGTTTCTGCCATGGTCATTCTTGTCACAGTCTCTCAACAGCTGTGGGCTCTAACTAGCCCTCCCACCACACCCCGCTGGGTGTCCAACACTACCGTAGAGCCCCAACTCTGTCCCTCCTGACCTGCTCCCCTCAAATGCCTGTGGTGACAACTACTCCCTTTTCCCAACCTACAGCACTAGGAATGTAAGCTGACCACCTGGTCTTCAGCACCCGCCAACCCCAGACCCCGTGTGCCTGCACGTGTAGTCCCCTCACTGCCGTCCCATTGCTGCCTCATGCCAGGTGCAGTCGGGTGTGGCCCTGCATCCAGGCACGTTGTGGGTTCCTCTCCAGGACCCACCAAAACCAAACCCACTGCCGTCGAGTTGACTCCGACTCACAGCGCCCCTAGAGGACAGAAGGGAACTGCCTCCATAGGGTTTCCCAGGCTTACAGACGGAACTCTGGTGGTGGAGTGGTGAAGGCATTTGGCTGCTAACCAAAAGGTTGATGGTTCGAACCCACCAGCTCCTCCACAGAAGAAATATGAGGTAGTCTGCTTTCATAAGGATTTATAGCCTTGGAAACCCAATGACCATGGCAGAATTGAGTCAGAATTGACTCAATGGCAGTGAGTTTTGAGTGAGTGAATCTTCACAGACGCAACCCCCAAACCACACCCACTGCCCTGGAGTCGATTCTGACCCACAGCGCCCCTAGAGGACAGAGTGGAACTGCCCACAGGGTCTCCAAGGCTGTC